GATACCCTTTGTGGACCTGTTTTCTTGTTTCTTTAAATAAGGGTTTTATAAGGAAATCAGCTGTTTGGTAATTGGATCAGATTTCTGGGAATCTAAGCTCTGGATACTATACCATGCCCTCTGGACAAGGTCTGAACATGACTCTTTTGGCAATACTAAAGTAAATGGAGCTAATTGACTTGTAGTATTGGAGATAAAACTGGAGTTGCGGAAAAAAGTTTCTACTATTGACAAGATATCACTATTGGTCAGACAACATTAGTTGCTGCCTTCCACGCCTAGAAGGGTTGAAGGAATGGACGGCTGAGTGGCCATGCGGATGTAGCCCAGTAGCCTGCCCAGAGCTTTCTCAATGTCCTTGGCAATGATCCGTCGGAGCAGAACTCCAAGGACGGTCTTCTTTTCCAGGGGCGAAGCCTACAAGTGGGCCACATGGGTTGACCTGGAACCCCAGCCATGTGTTGACCTCAGATAAGACAGTTTTGTGCCAGAGCAGTTGAGCTGTGTCCTGGGTTGCCGTCTCAGTCCCCAAAAGCCAGCAAAAATCATCAACAAAGACAAGCTTCTTCGGAGGGCCTTCGTGACATCAGCTTTGAGTATCGCCCATGTAGTGGTCTTCTGAAGATGTTTCCACCCCATGTCAGTGCCCGTGGCTGGGGTGGGGCCCTCCTTCTACCGGCAGGACAGGAACGGTCTGTGCGCCCAGGGCTGGACCCGAAGTCGAGCCGCCAAGGCCTAGACGAGACACAGTGTCTTGAAGTTCATTGAGCTGTGCCTCAAGGTCTTCCTCATGTTCACATCCGGGTCGACCGCAGGAGCAAATGGTTGGGTCTCCTCCTGGTCAGCAGGGCGTATCTAAAAGCAAGTAGTCGTCTCCCACCGAGGAAGCCTCTTCCACTTCCAACACCGAAAGGGGAGCCACAGTATCACATGCCATAGGGCTTGAAGACGAGTCCATGGCGGCCATTACAGCAAAGAGAGGATCGAGTGTTTTTTCGACACAAACAAACCCAAGGTCAGGAGACTTGAGCCAAAGTGGCAAAGCCATTTTGGATCATTTTGGCAACTATATCAACAACACATTACTTGCTCTCCACAAGTTCCAAGCAAAGAAACAACAATTGCTTAGTGCAGTCGGAAAATGAAAATAGAACCTATAATTCTAGAAATCACTGGCTCAAGGTAACAGAATTAGAACTAAAACCTTTAGTCCGCAACCTTAACCTTCGCCCCGACTCATCATTGTGACATAACAGAGACAATTCTGTGTTGCTGGGAAGTTGCGAATCCAAGCAAGGCCAAGGGGGAAAATTAGGCCACGGTGGCATGTGAAAGATACCTTGAATACAGTTATCTTCAAGAGGAAACAATATCACCTGATCATCATGAGGGATGATAATCCGCCACCCCCTATGACCAATATGCTGAACGGGCTAACAACATCAACTTTATCTTCATGAGGGATCAAAATTGGCCACCTCCTTAGAACAATATGTAGATTGGGGAAATAACATCAACTTTATCTTCATGAGGGATCAAAATTACCCACCCCCTCTGAACAATACGCTGATTGCGGGACATCAACTCCGGGCAAACGTCCAGGTTGCAGCGAAACTTTAAAATGACACCAACAATCCAAGTGACTTAAAGTATCAGTCGACTATTGTAGACTGTACCGATTCCAGCTAACACTGCGCATCTGGAGCCCAATGATTCAAAGGTGCCATGATGTCGTCATGTCCCTGCGAATTGTGAAAAAAAGCACTGTGCATGTTTCAAAGTTCATTCATTCTAACGCCTTCAGGGGCGATCGGTTCCAAAGAACGAACCGTTCAGAAACGGTTCCGAATCAAATTCCAGATGCCTTCTGGCAAACTAGCCCAGCTAGTGAAAACACCAGTTTTAATAGTTAAATCAGCCATAAGTGGGCAATTTTCGATAGCGATTATGTTAGTTCCCAACGCTGTGTCCGGGCCACTGGGGGGGATCTTAACGTTCCTGTCAACTTGCTGACGTCATCTATGCTTCATGAAATCGGGGTTGGGTGGGAAGGGATGTTAACGTTCCTGTCAACTTGGTGAAGCTCCCTGGTCATAGCTGGTAGCCAGGTTCATCCCATTGAAAGGGATAGCATGTTGAGTGGATGGTAGGGTGACTAAAGAAAATTGGATGCTCATGTCAATGTTGGGATTTCCCGAAATGCTATATCCCATTCACAACTGATGAACAAATCACGAAACACCATAGCTACTTTGGCTTTGTCCAAGACTAGGAGAAACCCAAACTGGCCATGTGAATTAAACATAGGTCAAATGTAAAACTGGTTGGTGGTTTCAACCCCTCTGAAAATATTAGTCAGTTGGGATGATTATTCCCAATATATGGAAAAATAAAAAATGGTCCAAACCACCAACCAGAAAAGAAAAAGCAAATCAACCATCAAAATTTTCAGGTTCCCTATTTTTAGACCAACATTGGCATCCAAACGCAACAACACTTAATGTCAAACTCAAGACTCTCAAAAACGCTATATCCCATCTACGAATGGATTACTAACCATAGTGGCTAAGAAAAAATCTTAACATTGATCATTCACCACATACGTGATGCATAGTTAAGACAAGGTGATTTCCCCCCCTAGATAGCTAAGTTGACTTATAACTTGCTTAATTATAAAGTAGTGGGGAAACCCACTTCTAACTAAGGGACCTCACCTTGTGATGTTAACCCCCTATGGATCCAAACACCACCTTCGAGAGAAGGTACAAACGGATCCAGACCAGAATCCAAAAATTGGCTCTTCACCATTCATCAGCTGTATGATATATTCATCTGTGGTTAAGTATCCAAATTATCAAAAGATATCCTCACCATAAACTGATTTAAATTGTGATTATTCACCACAACATTGCCAATCAGCCAGATACCCTGGAAAAAAACTAAATTCTTTGCTGGTGAACGTAGATATTCCCATTAATAGCAAAAGACTAGTTAGGATTAGTTTGTATCCATGTAAGATTGACCTAGACAACAAGTCACGAGTCCACTCAAAATTTCCCTGGCCTTTTTCAAAGGATGATTCCAGGCGACCACATCTGTCACATGCCCTGTGCTCTTGTCCTATCGGTGTGAACCGCTGCACGCGATAAGTATGGGGAAGAGCGTGGGACATTTCATGGTAAACCATCCCAGATGCGAACCATGGTGCTGGTATATGCACACCTACAAAACTGGATGATTATTTCTTTAAGGGGTAAATGTTGATACATATTCCATCACCATGGTTCGCAGATGGCTGAAGAACCTATAAAATGGTGATGACTTGGGAATGGTTTATGATGCTGAATCCCACATTACTGGAGAGTGGAATGCAATGCTGCAATGGAATGCATGAGGGTTGGGGGGTCCAATGGAACGTTGCTGAAATTTGATAGCTCGCTGTGAATCCACAAATCTGCCTATGTTTAAACTTGAACATTTATGTGGACCGTATCTTCAATTGAATTCTATGCTGAACTATGCTGAACTACTTTTGTTTTGCTGAATTGACACCCTTTCCCTTGCTGCGTCGTGGCTTTCCCCTACACCAAGGCTACCAACAAATTCACCCAACGGCCCTGCAAGTGGTGAATTACCAGCGCGTGTCGTTCTTGAAATCCATAGCCCATGTATCACCACAGGAAAAATCACCATTAACGGCAGGAAACCGCAAGAAATTTGACAATGCTTCATCATCATGTTCCTTAAATTCAATGAAACAAAAATTCGGAGAAGTTCCCTTTTTTCAAACATATTCATTTGAGACCCCAAAACGATAGCTAAGTTGGTGAACATAACTCAAATGTCACACATGGTTTATGATATGCAAATTACTATAGTATTCATGGGATATATAAACCATCTTAGCTATCTAGCAGTACCCATATGCTCCATGTATGGAATATGTATCAGCATTTACCCCAACAATCATCCAAATGTAGGTAAATATACCATACATGGAGCATCTAGCAGTATGATACGCCATTAACTAATTAATTACCGTATATTCATGGATATTCATGGGGTCATGGGGTTTATAAACCAAGAAACATAAGGTTTGGGGGCCCCACTGTACCCATAGCTGCTTGAAAACACGCTCCTTGGGCATGTCTAAACTGAGAGCGAACTCCAACAAACACCAGGAACGACCTGTCTGAAAATCACAGGCCGCGGCTGGAGCTTGGTTGAGACAGTTCTTGGGACGCTCTGGAATTTCTGAGTTGACCAGTCGGGATTTCGAGTATTTGTTTTGTTTTTTTTATAGGATTTACATGGGATTTTCTAGATTACTTGATCATTGAATTTTCAGCAATCATTCCGAATGATTTCAATAGGAACTCACTTAATCATAAAATCACAGCTTTATCAAACATGATGTAGAATAATTCACTGGACTGAAAACCATGAATGGAGGCCCAGTTCCGGTACCCTTGCTCCAATTCCCATAATTTTCCAAAAGCAATTCTGCAGTTGGACGTCCATCATCCCATTTTTTTGGGAGGGGCGAAGGGAAATACCCCGGATATGCTGTTGTGACATTCTTGGGCTCTCCCTCGGGAATCACATGTGGCAATCGGAAAATGAACGTTTCAAAACGAGAAAATCCATCTGTAGTACCATGCTTTTTTTGTACTCTGGGCATATAAAATGATGGATCACATAGTTCTCAAAGTCGCGGGCCCCCCAAAATTGGCCAACTCTTGGTGTATGTTTTGGACAGTGTTGCGGAGCCATCACTTTGTTCCATTCCCTTTCCGACCCGGGAAACCATGAAGGAGGTCAAGGCCGAGAAGGGTCGAGGACTAAGCATTGACTTCAATGGAAAGCCAATGACTGTTAAAGCCTGGTTATAGTCTAGTGAGTCCTCCAACCTTGGGGATATCCCTTGGCTTCGATCATGGAGATTAAACCCAACCCAGTATATAATTCCATGGGAATTCCCATTGGGACCCCATGAGTCATCAAGGATCAGCGCTTGTTTGCGCTGCTTGTTTAAGACGTTTCGGACCTGGGGTGACCTGGGGGTGACATGACAAGGTGGTGCCCCAGCTTCAAACCAGGTGAGACCCGGTTACGCCCCGCTGAGCTCGTAAAATAATCTATCCAACTATCTAGCCCTAATGGTTCACTAAGATAAAAATGGCAGATCTTGATGATCAATCTAGAAAAAAACAAAGTTCATGTGAATAGACTGAATCGACTGATTGATAAACATTTTGACAACATTAATCCTAAATATGATAATGTTAACCCATTCTATTAAAAAAACATCATCTAAGGATATTTGTTGATTTATAAACATTAAGGTTTATGTTGCTAATGGTGTTTATAAATCAACAAAGATCCTCAGGGGCGCCACCCTCCGAGCGACTGAAGGCCATGCCGCTGGAATCCAGTAGAACCACCTCGAAGGGACTGGAACTGCCGGGAAGGGCTGATTTTTTTGACCGCAAGCCAGTTATACCTCGTTTGTAACTTTTGAACTTTGAACTTTAAAGTTACTTATGAGTCATAATTCTGCATAATCCTACATTTATACCCTCTGGTTATTTAATAGTTCGCCATGGAAAGATCCACCATTTTTAAGAACGGTAAACCATCTATTTCGATTAGGGCCATCGAAAAACCATGGACCATGAATGCCATGATTTGAACACATCAATGGGTTGGTTACCAAGGGAAAAGACTGCAGGAAACTCCAACATATTTGATGGCAAACAACACATGGTTTCCCGTAGAGTCTCCCTCAAACCAATGGTTTGAAAATACATGCTTCAAGATGATTTAAGGATAAAAAACAATCAACAATATATGAGTCATCAACAAATGTGGTGACAGTAGTGATGGGGATATACTCTCTGGTCTCTGGTAACTTTGCCATGGAACATCGCCTTTAATCGGGAATTATCATCCAACGAAATTGGCGATTGTCGATAGCTATGGTGAGCTATAAGAACGTATATCAATGTGCAGCTACTTTATGATACTTTAGCATATTTATCTATCTATCTATCTATCCATCCATCCATCTATCTATTTATATACATGTATGTATATATATAATATACATATAACATATATACGTACATAATAAGCAAATATATATGGCATGAGAAAATACTCTCATCTAAGATGCTTGGCTTAGAGGCCTAGAGTATAGATTCATCCCAATAACATCCACCACTGAATTTTAAAACGCTAAAGAAGTAAAATCATGTAAAGTCCAACTGAAATAGAAAGCGAATGTCTATACAATTATATACAGTATATATATAATTTATAAAATAGTTATATATATATATATATATGTAATTCTAAATATACATATATATATATATACATATATATATATATATACATATATATATATACATAAATATATACACATACAAAGGTATATAAATATATGTATATACAGGTATATAATCATGTAATACGTGAATGTTCTATCTTTCCGGGTGGGCCAAAGGTCTCGCACGTTGGGCCGATAGAGACAGGTCTGTTGGAGGGTTGGTTTATCATGCAATTTGTACCTGCAACCTGATATATATATATAATATCATAATATATAAATATTATTAAATCAAATTAAGTTGTATATATTATATATATATATCTTTAAGATTACGTAACATCTACAGTATACACAATCATCTACAAACACATGTATGCATATGTATATATATATATATTATGTCGGTCATGGTCCGTTCACAAAGCCACAAAATCTCTGCCGTGCCACGCTGCCCACACAGGTGGTGCTGATTAAGACCTCGCAGAATCGTCGCTTCGACAATGGTGATTTCAGTATGGAAAATGGTGATCTGACAATGGAACATTGGCTGGTAGTTGACTATCATATATGGGTATTGGGTAATGTGGTAATGTGTGAATCAAATAGCCATTTACAATATTGATATATGGTTGATATCCAATATATGGTTGATATATGGTTGGTGGTTGACCTACTTGGTTAATGGTGATTAATGGTGGTTAATGGTGATTAATGATGGTTAATGGTGGGAAATGATGATTAATTATCTGGTTGGTGGTATACCAAAACCCCTTTGAAAAATGATGGAGTGAAAGTCAGTTGGGATGATGAAATTCCCAACTGAATGGAAAAAAACATGTTCCAAACCACCAACCAGTAAGGATGTTGCCATGGAAAACGGTGATTTGACTAGGGAGAAATCACCGATTTCATAGGATTTCACCATGGAACGGATTCCGCCATGAAGATCTTGGGATCTCCCCGTTTTTTCGGCTTCTAACATGTTTTCTTATCATAACAAGTCGGTTTCAAATGGTTGAAAAATCATCAAGAGTTGGGATCCAAGATCAAACTCGTTTTTTTTCCAGCCAATTTTTTTCAGGCTTTCACCAAGAACATGACGTTCATCATGTTTCTTTTGATGGGGAACTTTTAAGGATTCAGATGTCAAACCAGATCAACTCTGTGTCCCCAATTTTCGTCTCAGGACGTCTGACAGATCTGACAGATCCACTTCCCATTCTGACAGAGACCCGTTTTACGGCCGACCTTGCAAAACGCTGCGTCTTCCAGATCCTTTGGAGCTGGGAAGCGGGTCGGCTGCACGCAATGCCTCGGCTCGTGGAGTCGTCGGAAAAAGCTGGTGGTTTTGGAAATCAGGGAGTTTGATGCTTATTGAATGGGGCTATCATTCCATAAATGGGTTATAACAAATTGGGTCATTTTCATTCAGATTCCATGGCTAAGCGGCTTTCTTACATTGCCAGGGGATACAAACGTTACCAAATTTGACCCATTGCGACCCCGGTTCCAAATTTCTTCGATCCCTAGATGATCCAATCGACAGCGTTGTTTCTTGAACGGGAATCCCACAACGAATCCAATTGTTTCACCATTACAATTAGTGAGGCCCCAAAGATATCTAAGTTGGCGAACATAACTCCAATGTCACTATGGTTTATGGTACTTAACTATAGTTACTGGGGCTTTTGTTAACCAACTTATAACTGGGGGGCCTCACACTGTAGAAATCACAAGATTTAAGGATGATTTCGAGGTCAAGTGGCCGGACCCGTTGGGCGTTGGGGCATTTCTCGTTCCATATTAGTCTACCGTTGTAAACTTTCATCGAATTCATATCTGGTTGGTGGTTGACCTACCCCTCTGAAAAATATGAAAGTTAAATGGGATTATTGTTATATGGAAAAATATGAAATGTTCCAAACCACCAACCAGATATATATACATGCCAACAAGCACAATTCTGACATGTTGGGACAGCAGCTTGACATCGGGAAAAAAAAACTTGGCATCGTTGACGTTCTGAGGCCAGCAACAAGCATCTGGCGAAGGAATCGATCCACCAAGCAGAGGCTTCCCCCTGCAATGGCTGCGCTCGTGGTATACAACTTGGGGCCTCTGGGAAACATCCGCAGTATACAACTTGGGTATAACTTTAACCCCCATGTTTGTTGGGATATGGGGCTCCTATAACTATACATTACTATACATATCCATTTATAGTTCACTGGAAATATATGTGCCGAAATCAGACATCCTCATGTAAATCACGTGGGTGATTTCCTCCTTGGACTATGACTTGTTGGCGATTCAGCAAGCAATCCAGCCCAAATGGAGGTGTCCATTCCATGGGAAATACCTCGTTTTTTCCCAAATTATCCAAAATTACCCTCTGGTTATGACTAACATAGCCATGGAAAATCCCAACCATAAATGGAGGTTTAGTTCGCCGGGAAAATCATCTATTTCGATTAGGGCCATCTATACCATGGCTATGTTAAATAACCAGGGGGTATGATATTTAGTGAAACCCGTGGTGACTTCGGGGTCCCCCATGACTTCCGAAACATTCAAATCGATTCCAATCCCTTGTTGTTGCTGTTTCCACGTGGCTCACATGACACATGACGATTGAACGTTTTCCGCTTCCCCATCTCCGAAACGCGTTTTTCTACTTGGAGATGCGCTAGAGATTGTCCCTCAAAAATCTATCAATAGCGGCAATTCAACATAGCTGTGGCAAATGGCCAATGATATGGATGATTTATGTTGAAAACCATGGCGATTTTCATGATTTGTCCAAAGCAGCTGGGTGGACTCCATTCCGATATGCTCCATGCATGTATTGAATATGTACCCACATCTGCCCGAACAAAATCGCCCAGTGATTTTTATATACCAGCACCATGGTTCGCATATGGGTTACTAGATATTACATGATATTACCCTCCAGTAAATCAACATAGACCCTTGCAGTTGGTTGATCCACCATGGTTTGCATATGGGATTTGAATCATTGTGGATCAACAAAACAAGAAATCTGGACTCAAATCAATTGCCGCCTCCCGCTGTTCTTGATGATACTTCAGCATTGCAAACTCGGCAGCTCCCCGGCTCCGCTACGGGCACCCCTTGTGGTACTGTTTTTTTTTCTGGATCCAAGTAGCATTTAAAACAGAGACAACCGGTTTTGGAAACCCCAATGAAAACCAGCAAGCCACGTATTGCTGGTGATTTTTTAATTCACAATGTCTACATAATAACACGTCCTCAAATCTTATGGCTTATTATATATATATATAAATGACGTAACAATATGGAACATCATATCCCCAGTCCTCCGGCTTCGCCAACGTTCCACCAGTTACAGTGACGTTCGCTCAGTGCCGTGGTGCCCCAGCGCCCCAAGTGGATGGGAATGCCGGACACATCACCTACAAAATCCTGGTTGGTTAATGATGGTTGATGATGGTTAATGATGGTTGATGATGGTTAATGATGGTTAATGATGGTTAATGATGGTTGATGATGGTTAATGATGGTTGATGATGGTTAATGATGGTTGATGATGGTTAATGATGGTTAATGATGGTTAATGATGGTTGATGATGGTTGATGATGGTTGATGATGGTTGATGATGGTTAATGATGGCTGATGATGGTTTAATGATGGTTAATGATGGTTAATGATGGTTGATGATGGTTGATGATGGTTGATGATGGTTAATGATGGTTAATGATGGTTAATGATGGCTAATGATGGTTAATGATGGTTAATGATGGTTAATGATGGTTAATGATGGTTAATGATGGTTAATGATGGTTAATGATGGTTAATGATGGTTCATGATGGTTAATGATGGTTAGTGATGGTTAATGATGGTTGATGATGGTTAATGATGGTTAGTGATGGTTAGTGATGGTTAATGATGGTTAATGATGGTTAATAATGGTTAATGATGGTTATGATGGTTAATGATGGTTAGTGATGGTTAGTGATGGTTAATGATGGTTAATGATGGTTAGTGATGGATAATGATGGTTAATGATGGTTAATGATGGTTAGTGATGGTTAATGATGGTTAATGATGGTTAATGATGGTTAATGATGGTTAATGATGGTTAATGATGGTTAATGATGGTTAATGATGGTTAATGATGGTTAATGATGGTTAATGATGGTTAATGATGGTTAATGATGGTTAATGATGGTGAATGATGGTTAATGATGGTTAATGATGGTGAATGATGGTTAATGATGGTTAATGATGGTGAATGATGGTTAATGATGGTTAATGATGGTGAATGATGGTTAATGCTGGTTAATGATGGTTAATGATGGTGAATGATGGTTAATGATGGTGAATGATGGTTAATGATGGTTAATGATGGTGAATGATGGTTAATGATGGTGAATGATGGTTAATGATGGTTAATGATGGTTAATGATGGTTAATGATGGTTAATGATGGTTAATGATGGTTAATGATGGTTAATGATGGTTAATGATGGTTAATGATGGTTAATGATGGTTAATGATGGTTGATGATGGTTAATGATGGTTGATGATGGTTAATGATGGTTGATGATGGTTAATGATGGTTAATGATGGTTGATGATGGTTAGTGATGGTTGATGATGGTTAATGATGGTTAATGATGGTTAATGATGGTTGATGATGGTTAATGATGGTTGATGATGGTTAATGATGGTTGATGATGGTTAATGATGGTTGATGATGGTTAATGATGGTTGATGATGGTTGATGATGGTTAATGATGGTTGATGATGGTTGATGATGGTTCTCTGGTTGGTGGTTCACCTACCCCTCTGAAAAATGATGGAGTTCGTCAAATGGGAGTATTTTTCGGTCCCAATAGATGGAAAGTCATAAAAATCATGTTCCAAACCACCAACCAGCTATAGTTTTTTGGGGTTCTGGTAGATATCTCCCGCGTTTTTTTGTGGATGTTTTTGCTGGGGAAAAAAGACCAAGCACAACTGGGGAGCACCGCATTGCATCATTTGGCACAGCTTCCAGAGAAGAAGACTTTTTCTTGGTACCCTAGAAACTCAGGAATCTAACCCATAGGATCCATGTATGCTATATATGGTAACATGGATCCAATCAATATACCCCATTTATGTTAGCATATATACCAGCACCATGGATCCTATGGGTAATGATAGAGGAAGGCTGAAGAATGATCTCAAATGATCCATCCATGCTCCCATAGAAAAGCGCCCGGCTGCTGCAGCCAACTGCAAGCGCCCGACTGTTTGCACCAGTGGAGTACCCCACCTCGTCATGGCCCAAACTGGTCGTCTCGTAGAATGATCTCTGATACCCCATGATATCCCCATGGTTTAGTTCTGATTGTTTCCTTCAGTGGTGGCAGCGTTTCCACATTTCACTGGTTGTCTGAAAATAGAGTAAAGAAATCCAATGTTTATCAGATTATCATTGTTTTCCAGGTTATAAAAGGCAACATATTCCCTATTTTCTTGTTTTGCATCACTTCCACATTCGGAGATAGATTTGGGGGTCACGACTTTGCTGAGACCAGCTGCTACTAGCTATAATGAGTCGGTGTACGAGGCCGAAAATCAAGGTTGCCAATCTGACAGGAAGGGGCCCCCAAGCGATACAGTAGGTCAGTAGGTGTCAGCTGGTCCATTGCTGAGATTTATGATGGATATATCGAACTATATACTTACGATATCTTATGATATGGGCACCAAATAACCAACTAACACTTCACCACTGGGCACCACCGCAAGTAGGTCTCCTGCATTGCCAAGTTATCTCTTGTTGCAAGTGCCCCAGTTTTCTCCAAAGGTCGAACCTTGATCTGGGGGTAAATAATAGTAATTCACTAACCTGAAGAGTTTGGTTATTTGCGGATCGTTGCCCGTACAATTGCCATCATTCCAGGGTTCGGTCCCATCACCCAGCTTGATTTGAACAGCCAAGAAGCCAATGGCTGACGAACCACTCCGGAACCTGTGGTTCAAAGGCAGAGTTGCCCAGGGCTGACTCCACGTTTATTTGAATCTTGCCATCCAGTTCATGGAAAATAATCGCTCGCCTCCAACAACAAGCATCACTAAATAGAATTTATTTCCCATAGGATCCATGGTGCTGCTATATATGGTAACATGGATCCCATCAATATACCCCATTTATGTTAGCATATACCAGCACCATGGATCCGTCATGGGTATGGAGGTTCCCTAAAACGGGGCTACTCCAACTGATCCAAAAATGAGACAAAAACTTATTTGTGTTGATGAAAATTTTGGGGATCCGGGATGCCACATTTTACGAAAGCCACATTTAAGGGAGTCTAGCCATATATTCAAACATTAGTAGTTTACATGGGTGGATTGGGATTTATATGGTGAATATTCCAAAATACGTTTCTTTACATGGGTTATATATGGGTTTATATGGGATCCCCAAAAGTTAGTAGTTATATGGGTACCATGTGTTACATTTATATATATATATTTATATATTTATATATATACACATATTTATATATATATATTTATATATATATATATACATATATTTATATTTATATATATATATATTCACATGGGATTTATATGGGTTCCCTAGTTGGTGATGACTCTCCACCTGTCGAAACAGCCACTTTTTGTTTTTCAAACAAACCGCCTGTGGTTCCGCAGCAACCAGCTCCACAAAGGAGCAGGGATCGAAGCGCTGCGTCAGAGGCTTCAAGAAATGCTCACTCGCTTGGTACCTGTACTGTGCTTTCGGGAGATCTGAGACTTCGCGTTTTTAACCGGGGTAACGTGTACTTCACTTCAATACGGATTCGCCATGCGCGGGGGATTTTTGGGGTTGTTGGCATTTTTTTACATGTTTAGCCATGGGGGATCATCCATCAGTCATTGGTTAGCCACATTAATACCCACAAAAAACCATCCCCATCTTACAGGATGGGGCCCCCAAGATAGCTAAGTTGCCTTATTTCAGTGGCTTTATGGTAGATATAACGAACTAGTTAATAGGGGCTTTGTTATGGTTTATAAACCCACAAATAACTGGGGGGCCCCATCCTATCCCATCTTTAATGGTGGTAAAAACTCAGATCATGTAATTTATCGTAACCACTACACTACCGGTGACCCTCCAAGCGCTGCGCACATGTTGAGGCTCCCCCAGGTCAGGCGTCGCGTGCCCTCGCTGATGGACACTGCTTCCAACACCTTGCTGCAACAAAAAAACGATGGAAAGTGCACCTGGTTGGTGGTTTCAATGCCAATCTTAGATACCCTGCATTTGTTTGCCATTAAAAATGGTGATTTTCCATAGCTATGTTAGTTTACCAGAGGGTAAATTGATATCATTGCCAATCAGCCAGATACCCTGCAAAACAAAAATGCTGGTGAACGTAGATATTCCCATTGATACCAAAAAAACTAAAGGATTAAAGTACCCATCTAAGATTGACCTAGTAACCATCTTGAAAAATATGAAACTCAATGGAAGGATGACATCCCATAGATTATGGAAAATAAATGTTTGAAACCACCAACCAGTGGAAAGTGCACAGATTCGCGTACGCATTTCCTGACCTTCGAAACAGTATTTGGATATGTCAAGAGTGGGTACCCCAAGAATTCGATGCTTAATACAAACAATGGGCTAAAATCTGTGATCCCCCAGGTCTTCAATGTTGACCTCCATTTGACAATAGGGGTACCGATACAATTCCAATATGGTTTCCAAAAGTGTGGTTTTATCTGCAAAAGTCGGTTCGTTTTTCCATCCAATGAATTACTGGTTGGTGGTATACCTATTCCTCTGACAAAATATGAAAGTCAGTTGGGATTATGAAATTCCCAATATATGGAAAGTCATAAAAAATCAAAAAAAAACAAACCACCAATGAGATTATCATTTCCCTCGCCCCGTGGCCACTTGGAGGGCCCATCCCTATTCTCACAACCATTTCTTGGGATACATCATGTTATGGTCTTGGTAACCCAAGGATCGGGCGTTTTGTTTCCTTCTACATACTGCCATTGTTGGGAACATTCAATCAATGAACATGTGATATTTAAATATAAACATATATACGTATATATATATATATATGTGACAACCCAAAAAACGATGTCGGAAAATTGAAAATTCTGGAATACCATCCTGGAAATACTGTTCTATTTTCTTGGGATTTTTATATTTACACATGTCAGAAAACAAAAAACACATAAAATTAAATCATAGACATATTTTCAATCATCAGCATGTGATTTCATTGAAACCAATGATGTTCTCGCCGTGTTGAAACACATGTTCATTTTCAATGGGAAACTATATTGCTGTGATTTTTAATGCGTTGATTTGCTAAAATTCCAAGGAAAAACATATCTGTGATTCGTAGATCGAAAGGGGATTTTCGGTGGATCAACTCATAGGATCCATGGTGCTGGTATATGGCTGCTAACATAAAGGGGGTATATTGATGGGATCCATGGCACACCATATATAGCAGCACCATGGGTCCGTCATGGGTAATTGCATGCAAAAATCTAGGCTTAATCTGCTGGTTGAATCAGTGAATCATGGAACTCTCCCTGCCGCAAGTGCCTCCTTGATGAGTTTCATCAGCTCATCCAACTGATTTGCCGAGAACCGAAGCACCAACCAGTCTCATGAACATGTCCAGGGTTGCTGCTAGGAAAATTACCACCTTTAAATAGGATTCTTTTAGGCCATGACTGTGTTCCAACGATTAGTGGTTGTAAAATATATGTTTTAACATACCTGAAACATATGCTCATCATTGGGAATCATCATCACAAATATGGAAGACATGATGAACATGCCCTTTCCAGGGTTGCTCCAAACACACCAAATACCTTTGAAATTTGGAAGATACAAATGCAACATGGCCAATTTATCCCACGTGTGACTGTCATTTATACCTGCAATGTAACGGAGCGATGCTGCTTGCGCTTCCGACTATTTCAAAGGAAAAACATTGCTTTCTGTACATCAGAAACCAACTTTGAAGTATATAACAAAATCTCATGAAATGAGGCCTCAACAAAGCAATACTTTCTTCGAGTGATCTCCACCATGACACTCTATATCTGGCATATATTCTGACAATTTCTGACATTTTATCTGGATTCTATCTGACATCTATTCTGACATTCTCTCTGACATTCTATCAGGCATTCTACTTGAAATTCTATCTGACAGTCTAGCTGACATTCTATGTGACATCTTGCACTTGCAATTGAGATCCCGCAGTGCCCAATGAGATCTGGCTCTCGCAGTTGAGGTCCAGCAGTGCCCACTGAGATCTGGCTCTCGCAGTTGAGGTCCAGCAGTGACCACTGAGATCTGGCGCTCGCAGTTGGGGCCCGGCAGTGCCCACTGAGATCTGTTGCTCGCAGTTGGGGCCCGGCAGTGCCACTGAGATCTGGAGCTCGCAGTTGGGGCCCAGCAGTGCCCCTGAGATCTGGAGCTCGCAGTTGGGGCCCGGCAGTGCCCACTGAGATCTGGAGCTCGCAGTTGGGGCCCGGCAGTGCCCCTGAGATCTGGAGCTCGCAGTTGGGGCCCGGCAGTGCCTCCTGAGATCTGGAGCTCGCAGTTGGGGCCGGGCAGTGCCCCTGAGATCTGGCGCTCGCAGTTGGGGCCCGGCAGTGCCCACTGAGATCTGGAGCTCGCAGTTGGGGCCCGGCAGTGCCCACTGAGATCTGGAGCTCGCAGTTGGGGCCCGGCAGTGCCCCTGAGATCTGGCGCTTGCAGTTGGGGCCCGGCAGTGCCCCTGAGATCTGGAGCTCGCAGTTGGGGCCCGGCAGTGCCCCTGAGATCTGGCGCTCGCAGTTGGGGCCCGGCAGTGCCCACTGAGATCTGGAGCTCGCAGTTGGGGCCCGGCAGTGCCCCTGAGATCTGGAGCTCGCAGTTGCAGGCATAGTCCGAGGCTGAAGCAACTCTGATAAAATCTAGAGACCCTCACCTGGCAGGTGGGGAAGTATGAACACTCCCTAAATGGGTAGCAACCACATTTTATATACAACCCAGTTGTAGTCATATGTGGACAATGTGGGAATAAACCCTCTGATACATTATATACAATTCATATATAGCGGTATTATATATATATATATGGGTAATTAACCACAACCCCCAAGTACCCAGATGCGCTATCCAATTTTCTCTCAACCACTGGGAAACTGCCAACAACCCTGTCTGACAGCGACCCAAGAACTCCGCCTGCGGCCGGTAGATGGCTCTTTCATGCGCCTTGCTTCTGGGCATCAGGGCGGGGGCACACCCCAACATATATTGACCATTGATTCCATTGATGATATTTACATATATTTACCATTGATTAATTGATTATGTATATATTTACCTCTGAGATTTACAACATGTCCATTTTCAATTTAGGGTACCCCCAAATCATCCAAGTCAGACCATTTTAGTATTGAAACTTGCGGTGACTTGGGGACGCCCCATTTTAAGACACCACTAATGGACACTTGTGATTCCACTTCTGGTGGTTCAGTTCACCCCAGTTAGAGGTGAACTGACGCGATTCTTACCCATGGGATACACCAGTTTGTTCACTAACCTACAAGGACCACCAGTTTTTCGCGCGATGAACCACCAAGTATATTTATAAATCAAGTATCTGGATAATGTCAATACAATTCAGTGAGGTCGTGGCATAGACAGGTTGGATGTTGAATTGATGGTGGATCGTTCAGGATTCCCGTGATGGTCATACTGAAACTGGTATCATTAGGCTGCTGTAATAACCCTGTTGTCTGGTCCCTCCTCATGCCATGACATATTAATGTGTTTCACCAAAGCATGGTTGGTTTTAATCCCAAAAACACCATATATTTTATTATATTTTTGTGTTTGAAGCCTACATTTGATCCTTCCTATCCCCCTGATACTAAACAGTAAACATGCATTCCATGGTCCCAGTCATATCTGATTTCATCCCCACCAAGTCGTTGAAAAAGCGGTTCACATTGTGGGCCTTGGGGAAGGATTAGACATTCAACTCCCTAAGAAAGAAGCCGATTCATCACCAAATGTCCAGTCTGTCAATGGGAGATCTTCAGGATCCAATTGATGGAGGTACGTAAACGTACCATATGTTTGGCCATATGAATTGTGGTGATATTCCCTGAAATTTAGGCCTGAAAAATAGGCCTTATATATGGTAGGTACCTCCAATTTAGGTTCCTGAAATAGCCATTGATTTTACTTCAATGCTTCATAAGCCTATCGTAAGTCACCGTTTCCTGGGTCATACCACGAGTTAGCACCCTGGTTCCGTTCTCCAGTTACCTTCACCATGTATCATCACTGACCTGTTTATTAATCTATGATCATCAATTACAATGTTTATACAGGTCATAATATCAATCTATAATTCATCAATAATCTATTATTTTACATGCAAATTAATCAACAAAGCCAATGGGAAAAGACATCTATGACCTCCACCACGAAGCCAAGCAGCCATTGCGATGTGCGAGGATCTCTGTTGATACACCTGGATCCAAACCCTATTTTTGGACCTGGGGGATGAATAAAAAACCGTAAAAAAAAACGGTTTGTTCACATCAAAATAGCTGGGATTTATGAATGTGAATGAATGTGAATAACCCCCTAAAAATGCTACTAATAGGTATTGATCCATAGCATTCCATAGCCATATCCAGGTAATAGGTTGAAACAGGGTAAGTTTCCTTCACTTCATTCTGATTGTAATGACAGAGCTCCAGGACTTTTTTTGCCATATAAATGTGTCATTGTTCATGGATTTAAGGGAAACAAACAAATACGGTAAATCTTCCATCTGAAAAAGGCATGTTTTTGGATTTTAGGATCTCATTTTCATGCTTTGACATCCAACTGATCTTACCCCCTGGCAAATTAACTCTATAGATACCAACAATCCTTGATTTATAGACATAGACCATTCCATAGTGCTTTACACGACTATGGATTGTCCATCTAGTTTTGCTCATCAGCTGCAATTTAATACATTTATATATATATATATATACTCCTAACCAGGAATCGTTCACTGGATATTTACATACTGGCTTTCTGCATGATTTTCCTGCAATATAGATACAACTAATTTAACAGTTCAGATAGCCACCAGATCAGCTGTTCAACCTACATTACATCATGAGTTAAACAGAATCCCAAATCAAATTCAACATCTTCAACTTATATACTTACTGTGGTACAACCAATAAATTGGTTATTTTCCATAGCCATATGCAATAACCAGAGGGCAAATATCAGATTTTCCTGTCAACATATATTGGCCATTGATTATATTTACCATTGATTGATTGATTATAATATATATATATATACTTACCTTTTCTGAGATTTACAAAATGACCATTTTCAATTTAGGGTACCCCCAAATCATCCAAGTCATTGGACCAGTTTGGAGTTAAAACCTATGGTGACTTGGGGACCCCCCATTTTCAGAACCCACCAGTGGACATTTGTCATTCCACTTCTAGTGGTTCGCTTGGTCGAATGTTTTCGTAGCCAATGATTACCCTCTGGTTATGTCAAAATAGCTATTGAAAATGGCTATTTATAGTGGATTTTCCCATTAAAAAGGGTGTGAAATAGTTTTAGGATTTTTTTTTGAGCAGGTTTGGGATTTTTTTTTGGATTTCTTGGCTGGTACCATTTGCCTAGTGTTTGCAACGGTTTGGAACTTGAATTTGTCATTTTGCATGGTATTTGCCACATTTGGGCATGTTCACCTTCCATTTTGCATGGGATTTACTACATGTGGGCATGTTCACCTTCCATTTTGTATGGTTTTTGCCACATTTTGGCATGTTCACCTTCCATTTTGCATGGGATTTCCTACACGTGGGCATGTTCACCTTCCATTTTGTATGGTATTTGCCACATTTTGGCATGTTCACCTTCCATTTTGCATGGGATGTTCTACATGTGAGCATGTTCACCCAAATATTTACAGATGCGGAAGCTTGGGATTAGATAAAAAGCGGGTGGGGGGGATTGAGGGAGGGCGCTAGCTATCTATCCAGCTAGCTAGCTATCTAGCTATCTAGCTAGCTATCTATCTAGCAAGCTAGCTATCTATCTAGCAAGCTATCTATCTATCTAGCTATCTATCTACCTATCTAGCTAGCTATCTTGCTAGCTATCTATCTACCTATCTAGCTATCTAGCTAACTATCTATCTAGCTATCTAGCTATCTAGCTTTCTATCTATCTAGCTATCTATCTAGCCATCCAGCTGTCTATCCAGCTATCTAGCTATCGAGCTATCTAGCTATCTATCTATCTAGCTATCTAGCTATCTAGCTTTCTATCTATCTAGCTATCTATCTATCTAGCCATCCAGCTGTCTATCCAGCTATCTAGCTATCGAGCTATCTATCTAGCTATCTATCTATCTAGCTAACTATCTATCTAGCTATCTATTTAGCTATCTATCTATCTATCTAATCTATCTAGCTAGCTAGCTATCTATCTATCTAGCTATCTATCTATCTATCTATCTATCTACCTACTATCTATCTATCTATCTATCTATCTATCACATGTAATCCTGTCAGCTTTCCAGAGAAGGTTAGTTCGCAAAAACCAACTAATGTAACTTGGGTTTAAGTTTAAATAAAAAAAAGCGGGAGGGGGGGATTGGGGGGAGGGCGCAGCGCCTCCCCCAAAGCAGAATGCAAGCACCTCTTCTCACATGTTACGTTGCTAGTTTTCAAGAGAAGGTTGGTCATGTGATACTCAGGGATGTAAATACTGTGCAAAATGCATCTTACATGAAAATCAAGTATTTAAAGCAGGCAAAGCAAAAAAAAAAAGCAGAGAAGCAAAAAAGCAGAGAAGCAAAGAAAAAGGAAACGCACAAAAGCAAAACAGCAGAAAGGCAAAGAAGCAGGAAAAGCAGAAAAGCAGAGAAGCAGGAAAAGCAGGAAAAGCAGAGAAGCAAAGAAACAGGAAAAACAGAAAAGCAAAAAAGCAGAAAAGCAGAGAAGCAGGAGAAGCAGAAAAGCAAAAAAGCAGAAAAGGCGAGAAGCAGGAGAAGCAGAAAAGCAAAAAAGCAGAAAAGCAGAGAAGCAGGAAAAGCAGGAAAAGCAGGAAAAGCAGGAAAAGCAGAGAAGCAGGAAAAGCGGGAAAAGCAGGAAAAGCAGAGAAGCAGGAATCCAAAAATAATTCCTAAACCTGATCAAAAAAAAAACCTAAAATAATTAGCCCTCCCATTAAAAATGGCGATTTTCCAGTTCGCTATGTTAATTTACCAGAGGGTAGATGCTTACTGTCACACATACTAAACATCTATTACCCTCTGGTAAACATACAAAAAGCTATTGAACATGGCCATTGAAATAGTTGATTTACCCATTAAACATGGTGGATCTTTCCACAGATATGTCAAATTACCAGGCCGAGTTTTTCATCAATCGTCCCATGAGGCTGGAAAAACTTGACTCATCTTCCATAGTCATGGGGATACCCCTATTAAATCCTATTACTACAGGATGGGGCCCCCAAGATAGCTAAGTTGGTTTATAACTCCCATAACTATGGTTTATGGCAGATATAACTATAGTTAATGGGGTTTATAAACCATCTTATAACTGGGGGGCACCATCCTGTAGATGGATAGTTTATAATGGAAAATCCATCTATATCTGGGATTATCTGGGTAAATTTCATCACCGAAGCCTGTCCGAAGCCTGGCATCATAAGGGAAAACATCCCTTTATGGCCCAACAATTCAGTGAAATAACAATCAATTTACCCAGATCTATCTGGATGATTTAGGGCTACCCCCCATTTTGGGACCCCATATCTTCACCATGAGCTCGCTCATCTTCGGCAGGACCCGCCTCTGGCAACGGCACGGTGTCGACCCAAAAAATCGTGTCCGAAAACTTCTCCTCCTGAAGAGTGGCGGGATTTCCAGCGAATCCGAGGGATGTTTGGTCCGAAAATATACGGTGATTTGGGGGACAGTTATGGCCCGAAAAAACCATGAAATAAATATAGGTTGCATGATATATCATGATATAGAACCTTAGCTATAGGAGTTATGATTCCATGAAAATAACACAGCAAGGGCCACAACTGTCATCTCCACAAATCCAAGTCCCATCATTCCAGGGTAGCACCATGAGGTCGTGATCAAATTTCTCTAGAAACAAATGGACATTTCCAGCGGTTCAATGGTGGTATCATGGGGAGATCAGGGGAAAATGATGGAAGCTGAGGATTTCAGCATGATGTTTTTGGTGCTTTGAGATGGTTTAGGCATGAACAATAAGGGGGATCTATCTGATAAAATTGGATTTAATCAGCTTGAAATGATGATTAAATAGGGATTTATCAATCACCTCCTCTGGATGTGTTTATCAATGTCTGGTTCACATGCTCTGGATATTTCTATTCCAAGATTTTGCCCGGCTAAAAAAGAAATGGTAACTTGTTCATAGGATATACTGTGGAATTACCATGGGAAAATGGTATTAACAATGGTAAAATGGTACCCTCTGGTAAACTAACATAGCTATTGAAAATGGCCATTTATAGTGAGTTTTCCCATTAAAAATGGTGATTTTCCATAGTTATGTTAGTTTACCAGAGGGTAATTTCATGGGAAACATCATGGGATGACATGGTAAAATGGGAATATCATGGGATTTACGATGGAATTTTTGGTAGCCAGAATGAGATGCTTTGGTCGAACCACTGCGTAGTGATAATCTTCAAACACATGGCGAAATATGTATAAATAAAAGGACAATAACAGCTGGCAACGATTCATGCTACCCAGAATCAGAGCGGATTACAGAGACGAGACCCCAACGGGGATTCAATTACCCTCTGGTAAATTAACATAGACCCTGGCAGATAGGGGTTGGAAGATTAGTTTCCATTAAAACTAGGCTATTTTCAGTTTCCATTAAAACTAGGCTATTTTCAGGGTCTATGTTAATTTACCAGAGGGTAAGATGATTCCAATTTGATTGTTTGATATGCTTGATATGAAAATTCAAATGATTTGATTCATTCCAAATGGATGATCCCATGGGAACATGTTGGAATTTGATCCAAAAATTGCGGTTTGATATGTGTGCCGCACGTCATTTTTTGTTCCGCACAGCATTTTAAGGATGATTTTGGAGTGCAAATTTACGATGCTGGGAAAGGATTCGAAGGGATTCATAGGGATATCATGGGGGTTACAATGGAAGTGCGGTTCCACGTGATCATTCTGGTTGAATCGTAATAATTGGGTAGCCCAAATTCAACCCAAGTGAGGTGCGGATAAAAAACCATTCAAGTTTGACACTTGAAACCAATTCATGCAACAGAGAAAGAATATGGGTGTGTCTGGAAACTGGATATACCCTAAGAAATGCTATTTAATACGGAACATGATGTTCTAAACTATGAGACTTGCGGGTACCCTATGTTCAAACAAACCCATATTCTTTCAATCGTTCCAAGACCATCTCAGAACTCAGACCAACGAAAGTACGGTGGTCATTCCCGTACCCTGTTGTTCCGGTCCATCATTCCTGTTTCAGAACCGTGGGAAGAAAACAAATACTCTCAACTTACTCCCAACTATGTGACTAATGCAATCATCACCTACCCTCTGGTAAACTGTTCCATAACTATGGAAGATCACCATCAGAGAAATGGTCATTGAGATGTTGGACCCCCACAAGTTCGACGACTGGAATCGCTTGGAATCTTCGACCTCATGGGAATGACTAATGACCCTCTGGTATTGACATGACATAGCGAAAATCATCAAAATATGGCCGGTTTACAGGTACTAACCAACATGACGTGGGATAAACCACCATTTTTTGCCAAACTTATCCCATTTCTTTCAGCCAACCGATTGCCAAGGCACTTTCTCTGGCTCTGCCTCTCCTTGCGCCTTGGCTCCTGAGTTCCGTTCAGCAAAGTCTTTGATGCGCTGGCTATTAAAAAAAAGGCGGTTGTTGAACAGCCAAAAAAATGGTGTAACAAACAGAACTGGTTGGTGGTTTCAAGCCATCTGAAAAAAAAATAAAGTCAGTTGGGATTATTCTTCCCAGAAAAAAAACAGTACCTCTGATGTATTAATCCTTGAATCAAAGGTAGTGATATATATATATATATATATGTTTTTTTTCTGCTAGCAAAATTTTCGGTGGCTTTTTTCACCAGCCTTGGTGGCTTAGCAACATACACCCACCGTACTGTAGGGGTAGACGTGGCACTTGACCACCAAAAAAGAAAGTGTGGTCCAACTCATGGTCATTCTACCTGGGTGGAATTTTCTACCACCTGCATGTCTCCAATGTTTTTGTTGGATCAAGTTTGATATATAGGCCCAAAGAAGGCCCACATACTGTAGAGGAACCGCAGGAACATTTTAAAATCTTGCCAAATTTCTGCATTTCTTGAAAGTGTTCTTTGAACTCTGGCTGAGCTGTGCAAAAAAATCGTGCCACCCGGGTAGGGTAGTAAATTTATGTAACTTTGGTAAAACAGCTAACAAATCACCCGTTTACCACTAAAATTGAGACTATCATGTGTCGTGGATTGGAGCTCCTCTGTCATGCTCCCAAAAGATAGACATTAAATAAATGTCTCATTCATCTGTCACAATGCTGGTGGGATTTTACTTCTAAAAACTGTATATATTTTAATATGTAATATATACATGTTACAACATATACATCATACATATAAAATATTTACAGATATGATAGATGCAGTACATGGTGCTTAATTATTTACACAACATAATTGTATATATATATATACATATATATAGAGAATTCATACATATAAGTTATAATATATAATATATAATATATAGTATATAATATATAATATATCGCATGCTATATATAATATATATATATCATATTATAATATATAATATATATTATATATCGTATATAATATATAATAAAATAAAATAAAATAATATAATATAATATATATAATATAATATAATATAATATACAATGAATATAATATAGTATATAAAAATATATAATACATTATATTCTAAATAATGCTCTGTAATTATTCCCAGATTTGCTTCTCATCACCGAAGTCAGTGCTGAGCTTGAGCCCTGAAACTCATCCCCGCCTGTGATGTAATCCACAAACCTCAATTGAACAGAAGCTGCGACATGGATTTCATGTATCTTGTCAATCGAAAAATGGATTCAACAGCCATCGAAAAATATGTTTCTCAATACAGCCATCATGGATACATGTTTTTTAAAAAAAATGTTCATCAATAAACATGGGATAATATGGGATAGATAATCACCAACATGGTTCAACATGATATATGCTTAGTCTCTCAAAATGGGGAGTTCCCTAAAAATGGCCAGTTTGGGGACAATTTTACATGTTCAGAACGGATTTTAGGGTGCAAACACTCATGGGTGCTGTGGATGCTGCAAGTGAAGGCATAGATGGGCCATGGAGTTAGGGAAAACTAGTTAGTAAATGGCTTATTTCATTGGGATTTTGGGGTAAACAAAGCCGAGTTACTAATAGTTAACTAACTCCATAGTCAATGGATTATTTCATTGGGATTTGTTTGGGGTAAAAAAAACAGTTACCAACCAGGAATCGCTAAAATCCGATTTGGCCCATCGAAGTAGAGTTCTGGTGTCTTGAAAAAAGCATCAGCATCCGAGTTATAGGTTATGAACCATTGCAATGGTTGGCAACTAGATACTCATCCCTATAATTCGTTTGAAAGAAAACAACTTAAGTAACCAGTCCGTAGAAGTCCCTACATTCACCCATTAACAGTTACCCTCTGGTAATTTAACATAGCTATTGAAAATGGTGATTTAGTTCGTGGATTTACCCATTGAACCTTGTGAATCTTTCCATAGATTCTTGTATGTTTACCAGAGGGTACACCCAATTTTTATCATTGTTTGTATATCCATTTTCTATCACCCAAATTCTTTCTCAATATCTTGCAAAATACCATGGTATTGGCGTAGATTGTTCCCCAATATCTTGCAAAATACCATGTAAATACCATGTATGACATCATTGTCCTCACGGGAAACCATGGGTAACCACATCTATGTTGGTGTAACCTACTTGGTGGTTCATCCCAGTTATAATATTCTTCCTTTCTCTGGACTCAGTTGCGCTGGACATGCCAAGGAACTCAGAGAAATCCAACGAGCCATTGCCATCCTCAGGATGGAAAATGAATGGTCATTTCGAACATAAAAAAAAGAAAAACGTTGGAATTTTAAATGTGGGTAAACTTATCCTGTGGTATTTTATGTGAACATGGACAACTTGTTTCAACATTTACCTTTTTGGACATAAAAGATTTTAGACCCTCAAACTTGGGGAGGTTTTAATAAAGTTTACTACATCAAATTGCCAGAGGCTATCTTTCAGCCTTTTTGAAAATAGTTCGAAATGAAGAAGCAATTCCACTTCGGGGTGGTGTCCCTTACTCATGATTTTTTGGTGGGGTCGGCTGCCAGTGGGCTCGTTGCAATTTACCATGGACCGCTTTGAGGGAAAATGTGAGCGGGAACCATTATTTTGTCTATCAAACATATGTAGTTTTTCTGTAAAACTTCAACCAATTCTGCGCAAATTACCAACAAATTACCCTCCAGAAATTTAACTTTGTCAAAGAACATGGTGTGTTTATAGTACACTCACATATATATATATATATTATTATATCAACAATGGCCATTGTCCAAAGCTATCTTGAATTTCGAGAAGGGTATTTGATGGTTACCATCCCCGCATCGGCGAAGCTAAATTTTCCCTTTGTCTTTGTTTTATGACTATGGATTATCACACCCATGAACGTGATAATGTTTATAGCACTCATGAAAACAAATAGAAAGGAAGAGTACAATTCCAAGATGGGACTCGACAGTGAATCTATCTCCAAATCCACTTTGACAAAATTCACAGTAAACCCTAAAGATGCAATTCCAAACAATTCACTCGCTTTTCTATCTTTTTGGTGCCTACAAAAAGCTATAAAAATGATCCCTCCATCCACCTGGTCCATGGTGTCAAACAGAAGCTCCAGCTCCTGAGCGATATCATGTGAGCCTATCGTTTTGGGTTTTTGGTAGGTATACAACCGAGTCTTCGTGGGGTTTGCATCAACAAATCAACATCGTATAACTCAAAAAAACACGGGAAAAGTAACTCCTATTTGGCAGGGTCGTCATGTTTGTTAGGATGGGGAAAAGTTTGAATGTCTCGATTCCGACATGAATTGACAAGGGATCCCGATGTCTCAGAGACAGAAAACAATTTTATGAACCTGGGTAAATCCAGATTCCATGTGATTCAGTGGGTTTTACTATCCGTTGTAATACAGTAGTGATTCCTCTATGCTCGAATGACAATTTACTATCCATTGATTGAAAACATGACTTTTCCAGGCCTAACGCGTTGCCTAACATCTGGCATACTCCCTGGTAAACTAACAGTTTGCCATCGAACATCATCATTTTTAGTTTGTTGATCTACTTCATAAAACTTGTGATTTTCCATAGCAAATCCATAGCAAACCGCTAGTTTAGCTGAGGGTATTTCCTATTAATCACCATTAAATCACCATGAAATCCTATTAAATCACCATTACATCACCATTAAATCACAATCGAATCCCATTAAATCACCATTGGATCCCATGAAATGCAACCATTAAATCCTGGAGGGTATATCCCCCATCCACATTCGCAAAAACGACCTCTTCGGTGATCTCGGGATTCCCCTTCCGCAGAAGCAACGTCATTTCCTGGCAAATCATGCTTGGTGAACATCGCATTTTCATTATGTGAACATGCTTGGAACATGGGTATATGTATATTCATATGTAGTTGGGTAGAATAGTGTTGAAGAATTATATATAGATGGGTCCATTTCATGATATACAAAAAACTAGTTCTAGCAGTTATCCATTTGGAACGGTTTTTTGGGCCAGATCGGTGTAGTAAATCATCACGAAGAATGGAATTCGCCCTAAACAATGGAGTTTTTTCACACCATTTCACGGACGCCTGAAATGCGATAACAATGGAGTGTTTTGATGGGAAATGATGATCAACCATCGCATTTTCGGTGTTACTCCACTCTCAGACTCACCCAAATAGAATTTGTTTTCATATTGAAACACCAACCCGGCAGTTCAAGTTGTGACTATTTGGGGGTCAGTTTCTGCGACGATTTCAAGGGTTGTGACAACCAGGGCATCTATGTTGGTCTGGGTTCATGTTTATAGTTGTTTATCTACTTAGATGGGCCATGGAGTTAGGGAAAACTAGTTAGTAGCCATGGATTATTTCATTGGGATTTTTTGGGGGTAAACAAAGCCCAGTTACTAACCAGGAATCGCTTTTATCCGATTTGGCCCATCTAAGTAGTTGTTTTGAGCCCATTTGGAATTGATATAGGTTTTCAACAAACCTTGTCCTATCACGTTGGATCCGCATCCGGGCATTGCCAACCCACTGCGAAGGGCGCACCCCTCGACTCAAAGTGCCATCGCTGTTTTCGTCCACTTTCCAGAACTCCTGCAAAAAGCAGGAAACACCACATCTCAATGGGAATTTCAGGATCCAATTTATGGAGGTACGTTAGTACCATATGTTTGGCCATATGAATTGCTGGGATATTCCCTGAAAAATTAAGGCCACAAATATATGGAATCGGTACCTCCAATAAATCGGTTCCTGTTGCATGGCCATTGAACATCTGATTCATCTGATTCTAAAGCAACCTGGCCATAAGGATCAAAGGGGATTTGTTGGTGCTTTCATGGTGATGGATGCATGGCAATTTCATGGTGATGTGATGGTGATGAAATCTGGTGACTTAGCCAACCATTATCAAACAAGGATTTAAGATGATCATAGATGATCTAAGTAAAAAGGAATACTGACTAGCTCGGGAATCGAAACCATTTGGGGATGGATCGAACTTCTTTGAAGGAGGACTGGGGGGTGCCTTCCTGTCCTTATCAAACTCTCAATCCCTCGCCGCTGTGAATGATCCCCATGGAGGCTGCTGAAGATGAACCCAGAAATATTTATGGCAATGCCAGAAATGATGAAATGATCCTTACTTTTCATATCTTTTCATTATACCATATATGAAAATATAAAATATCCATCATTCACCCACTAAAATTGCTTCAGACTGATGACGGGCTGTGTTCTGTTTACATTCCCAATATTCATGGTTTAGAAAGCGCCACCATCCGTCGCGACGGGCTGTGGTTTTCACCACCGTGCCTCTTTGCACCTGTCTGCTGTCACCTGCTCCTAGAGACTGTGGGGATGGATGGGACCAAGGGGACACCTGAACTTCAAAGCATTGCAGTGACTGAACAATCCGCAACTGTGGAAGTTTGTTCATCCTCAAACAGTCTTCTCCATGTCATTTTTGTTGTCACTTCATCAAGAGCTGCAACATCGACAGTTGAAAGGTAGTCGGTGAATTGAACCATAGCTACAGATAGCTCTACCAAAAATCCTAGTTTTGATCATAAAACCTAACTTCGCTAACGAACTGGGGCACCACCGCTAGTGGTCACTAGCAGTGACCGTTGTTGTGACCGAACGAACGGCGCCCCAGATATCCATCTCTCGCCCCCACCAGTCGGGTCCCTGGATTTGGACTTCTTCAACTTGCTGGCGCTCATGGAATTCAAATACCTTCAGAAGCCACTCTCGAGTGGGGGTACAGATGATGGTTGACATAACCTCCATAACTTGCTATATATATATATAAACCACAGACATATGTCATGATTATACACATATCATAAATATATGATTATCTGGTTGATGGGGGCTACCTACCCCTCAAAATGATGGAGTGAAAGTCAATGGGTTTCGGATGACATCGCTTTTTTTATGAAATGGACAATAATCCATTCATGTTTGAAACCACCACAGTTATAGTTGTTCATCATGATTTTCATGGCTTTTCAGATGGATTTCTATGGATTTCTTTTTTACGATGGAAAAATAATCCAGTCATGTTTGAAACCACCAGCGAGAAAATCCTCAAATCTTGCCTGATGGATTCTCATCTCATCGATTCCCCACATTCACGGAGGAGAAAACAACAGGAATATATATATATATATAATATATGACAAATCAACATGTATTCCTGTATACCATGACATCTAATATATGATTTGTCATCTAATCATGACATCTAATCAGCATACCATCATCTAATATATTAGACAACAGGATTAGATGATGGTATATCGATGATGGTATGAGAAAAACTTCCAACTCATCGCATACCATCATCTAATCAGCATCAGCGGCTGGATAAACTACCCTACCATCCCTACCATCGGGGTTGGTATTTGGGATGACTGTTGGGTCATGGTTTTGCAGCTGTAAAGTGCTGCTGCCCAAACCTACCAGAAAAAAAATGGGTCATTCTATCCAAATTCCACAACCGCAACTCATCGTCAACTTCCAGACATGTGGAAAACATGAATAAATCTGGCTGAATGGCCATTTGGCCACTTTGGGACAATAGCTAACGATGAAATTTCCGGCCCAGCCTGGCGAATTCTTTGAAGTCGACCTGATTGATTGGACAAACAGAAATATGAGTGTCATTCATTTGATATGTGTTTTTTTATCGATGTTTAATACAGTAATGCTAATGTGAAAAGCTTTATTGTTTCATATTTGTTGGCCACGAACGGTCAATGGATCACATACCTCAAACTTCAAGAGTGTTTTTCCAATCTGTCAAATCTCATGTCCAGAGATTTCTGACATAGCTGCAAATATGTGAGCAAAGTTTGCTGTATGCAAAGTGGTTGAGTCGAAGATCTGCATGGCAAAACAAAATCAGCCAATGTTCAGAGGTTGACGTGCACCGCACTGGGTTCCCTGCTGTCAGATCGCCATTGGTATCGATCTCCCGAAATAGGAGTGCCAACTGACGGTCGACGTTGGGCTTTTCACTTTTTTTGTTTCAATCTAAATCAGAAAATCTGGATAAGCCAACATTTCATGGAGATAGGTCATGGGTTGGGAACATAAATCAATATAAAACCAACAATATATTGTTTGATTGTTTGAAAAAAGGAACATAAGTGCCAAAACACGCTGTTTTAATCTGGACAATGATGTTCTAAACCAGTGGCATGCTACACCATCTTTGGCCAACGATCTGGACCAGACTGGTTCCACATTTTCTCTATCGTCTGCCTCGTCTCTTTGACCCATTACTAAGACCATATCCCCGCTCCCCAACAAAATCATTGTTAACAAATAATCAAGTCCAAGTCGTCTTTCCATGTAGGACATCTGCCAATGCTAAGTTAAAAAACTGAAATCGAACTAAACATCTACCACCAGTCCAACTCTTCCTACATTTCAACCAACGACACTGAAGTCGAATCTAAACCTCCACCAAATGTCCTTAACATCCATCATCAGCCCGTCAGGAAATCATAATCGTGTTCCTTTCCAACTATTTCAAACAACGATTTCAAATTCACCCAACTTGAAATTCAAATCACCCACCTTCCATCCCAGTCACTTTTTTTGCTTTCTGTCATACACAAAATTCGAATCATCGAATCATCTACATCACCTGCAAATATATATATCTACTATTTACAGATAAGGCTCCCATAAAGTAAGTATGGTATAATAATGTATAATATCCCTCCTGATAATTATTTACAGATAACATTCCCTTTTTAAACATTTATCCCCTGAACAAGTGGTTGGAAATCTCGTTTTTTTATACTCACCCACATCTTCAATTTGATTTACAGATCCACATTTACTAGATATATTCACTGGATATATAGAACATATTTACAGATCCAACTAATAATATGGTAAAGTATTTCCAGGAAAAAACATACATAATATCCCCAACTATAATATCCAACACATTTACCCAGATGCTCCATGGTGCTGGAATATTTACCTATATTTACCCTAAAACTTGCCCAAATGTAGGTAAATATTCCAGCACCATGGAGCATCTGGGTTACTAGATATTACCCTCCAGTAAATCAACATAGACCCTGGGAGTCATCGGGGTTGAAAGATTAGTTTCCACTAAAACTAGGCTATTTTCAGGGTCGAACAGTGAATTTACCAGAGGGCATTTTGTTTATCATATGTTATCATGGTGATTTGAAAATAACCATAGTTACACCAATGTCATGGTTACTAGATATGTATGTCATGGTTACAAAACAGCTACATCATAGTTACACCCATATTACTAGTTACACCATGGCTACTGTAAACCACCATAGCTATTGAAAATGACCATAGAAATCATGGATTTACCCATTAAAAATGGTGGATTTTTCCATAGTTTATTGTATGTTTACCAGAGGGTATAATTTAAATTCAGAGACAACCATATGAGCATGTCCATAGATCATCAATATATGGACAAAATAAAAACATGTTCCACACCACCAACCAGAATATCATGGTTACCAGATATTAATATCCCCTGAAAAAAAAACGAAAAGAATGGATCTACCCTCTGGTAATTTAACATAGCTATTGAAAAGGACCATTTATAGTGGATTTTCCCATTGAAAACGGTGATTTTTCTATAGTTATGTTACATGTTAGTTTACCAGAGGGTAAACCTCCATTTTCCTATGGTTTTCCTATGGTTTTCCTATGGTTTTCCCATCCAAACCACCAACCACTTATGGTTTTCCTATGGTTTTTCCCATCGCCATCGCCATCATCGGCCTCTTTGTCTGTCAGCGAGGGGTTGCCCTCCCGCAGCACCATTTTCATCTCGGTGAAGCTCAGCAAGCCGCTGGCATCGGTGTCTGCGCCTTAGGATTGGGTGACCAAGTGGTTGTTCTGACGCTTGAAGATGTGATATTTGATGACTAGGTGATGTCCTGGAAATGTGATGTTTATATATATATATACAAACTATACTAAACTATACTATGTACATGTGTATATATGTATATATACATATGTGTGTCCTGGATTTTCTGTATGTATGTATATATATATATATCCTAGATATATGGATACATGTATTGAACCATGATAGAAATAGCGATTATGAGGATTTACAAAGTTCTAAAGTTCAATGGATATATCATGTATATGAAATATGTGATATATATATGAGATATATTGGACATGTGCTTTAGATATATCAAACACATATGTATTTGCCGAATTATATGCAAATCATGGAATATATATATATATATATTATTTGACAATGTACAGTATAAATTGGTGATGCTACTGAATAGCAAGGACATGTCAAGACATACGTTGATATCACAAAATGGGACAATGCATTCGGTTAATATGTAGTACCCTCTGGTAATTTGACATATATATCTCTGTGGAAAATCACCATGTTTTATGGGTAAATCAACTATTTCGACTGGGCCTTTTTCAATAGCTTTTTGTATGTTACCAGGCCGGGTAATGTACAAAATCATTGAGACATTTCCAGACAATGCTGGAAACTCACAACGTTCCACCGAAAGTATGGTTGACCTACCCCTCTGAAAAATATGAAAGTCAAATGGGATTAGTGTTCCCAATATTAGAAATTCATGTTCCAAACCACCAACCAGCCATGGTTTTTTTTCCGGCTGGGAGTGATATCCCCCATCCAAAACATTGCGGTTAAAACAACGTCATTTTTACCTCTCATGACTGGGAATCTTAAACATAGAACCTATATATCTGGGTCAATTATAATATTTCACTAACCTGAAATGTTGGGCCATAAAAGGGGATGATTCCCCTTACTAACCATGATTCCCAGTGAGGGAGGACAGTGAGGTCGTTATAATTTACCCAGATATATTTATGGTGATGACTGGGGTATTGATGCAAATGGTATTGTTTTAAACCAAAAAAATAGAACTGGTGAGGTCAATCCTTCCAGGTCTTCGAGGCCACCAGGACACCTGCTGATATCTCTCTGCTGAGTCATTGGCTCCTTGATGATTTCCCTATTGAAAAAAAACCCAGCTTAATGAGATTGTCTCAGATCATCCATATCTACAAAGTTAGTTTGAGGATCTGCCCTGCTTGATGACACCAGAGCAAAAACGCCGTGACTGCCTGGTGATTATATGAGCCATGGTCAATACTCACTATATGGTTGATGGTCATCCCATCCATAATAAGGATCCTTATAATGGTTATTATAAATCCCTATGAACCATTGGATGACTAGCTCCTATTAATGGTTATTAACCATGAGTATTGACCATAGCTCATATAATAACTTTGAATTCAAGGCCCAGACTGTGAAACAAGTTCTGCAACTCCTCGAAAGGTTCATCACGCGGGAACACGAAAAAAACGAGATTCACCATGGAAGCTGAAGCTTGTCTCTAGCAAATCAAAAACAAAGAACTGTATCTACCCTCTGGTAAACTAACATAACTATTGAAAATGGCCATAGAAATACTGGATTTTCCCATTAAAAATTGTGATTTTCCATAGCTATGCTAAATTACCAGAGGGTATACAAAATGTTTCAATCTGTAATCAATGTTCCGTTAGTGACGTTACCTTCCAACAAATATCTTGCATGGATCCAATGGTAGGAACATTGAAGGTAATGAAACATAAATCATGGGTGCTGCTTGGGAAACTTTCAAAATTGGGTGAACATGAATACGATACACCACTAGAATCGAAGACCGAACAGAGGAGATTCCCTGAAGCCACCAAACATATTATCATCGGACAAACACATTTCTTGTGGATTTCATGTGGTCTTCAGAGGGGTCAACCCCAGTACCAGTAGATGAAACCCAGCTTGTGATGTCGCACTTCCAACTTCGGTGGACATTTTCCACCGGGCTCGTCCTTCTTTCGGGCTAAACTAAGACCTGTCCGCGGAGACCCCGGGACGGTCCAAGCGGAAAGCTTATTGGCAAAAAAGGGAACGGTTAAAAGCTGTCAACCGAGAAACAAAGGAGAGATGATGAGACATGTAAGTCTATAATAGTCTATATTCCTAGACTTCGCAGTGATGGAGGCCTCCTAGTTAGTTAAGTCGCTGGATATCTAAGCTAAGCATATGGTTTCTCATACATCTACATAGGAATAGTTTAAGCCGCGAAGCCGCAGAACTGGGTTTCATCGCCACGTTGACACGTTGATCCACATGCACAAAAAATGTATCATGGGTCATCTCTGCCACTACCCTCTGGTAAACTAACATAACTATGGAAAATCACCATTTTCAATAGGTAAATCATTGGTAAAACAACTATTTCTATGGTCATTTTCAATAGCTTTTTGTATGTTTACCAGAGGGTATCTCTCTCATGATATCCCCATAAAATGTCTGTGAATCAATCATATCCTCAACTCTCCGCCGTGAAAAACATATGATCAGCCCGCGAAAAAACAACTCCAAGTCCACTACAGGATGGGGCCCCCAGTCGATAGCGTTCAGTTGCCTTATTTCAGTGGCTTTATGGTAGATATATGTAGATATAACTATAGTTAATAGGTTTTTTTTCATGGTTTATAAACCCACAAACATCACTGGGGGGCCCCATCCTGTACATGTGTTTTATCTCTTGAAAGGCGCAACTTCGTTCGCTGCTACAACTTGGATTAGCCCTAAAAAAACACTGAGGGTTTTTTCACTCACTGTGCCCACCATGCCCAACAGAAACAAAAAACTCCTCAAAGAATGACTCTCTCCTTTTGAAGGTCCAAACCCTTGACATTTTAGGGCCTCTTCCAGCACTTTCCTTTCTAGCCATTTGGAAGTTTGTCACGCCAGTGCCAGCAGTACTTAGTATTTCTTGCACGTTCTGACACCCAAATGTACACGGAAAAAAATTGACGGTGTTCCTGCACAAACTGGATTTTCCATGTCCACAATTCTTATCTCTAACGTTTTAGAACCCCACATCAAAGGTTTCAATCATTAGTTTCTGTTCATCTATTCATTCTAGGTGAGTCCTAGGTCCAGCACAGGTTTATGAAATAAAACAATTTCTGATCTCATCTGATGTGGTTGGTTTGATAACGTGCGATACCTAAATTGACGAGTTCTCACGCCCATTGCTGCCCATGTTTTCCAAACAATCCAGAAAGCACGGCTTGCCTTGAATATCGTTCAAACAAGTCAATCCTTAGCCTAGCTGGCTGGTTATTGACATGTTTTGCAATAAAAACAAGAACAACCAACCAGCGAAATCTACCCTGCAACGTTGCGGGTGTTCCTGCCATGGCGCCTCCCCTTTTCGGTGCCATGGCGCCGCGGCGCCAAGCCGTGAAACGGCTCCTTTGGAGCCAGTGGCTGTTGGAAATGTACCAGCAGCATGTTGGATTTAGCCCTGCAAACTGGTGATGAAATCCAGTAAGTAGGGATATACTGGGTAAAAAAATGGCATCTGTGATGAAGAACATATGGGACTTTTTTTCGATCCATCTACCATTTTAGGGGGATAGAGTGGATAGATGATAGAAAATGCAAACAATTGGCAAACAATGATAGGGTGATAAATAAGACCAATTCATTGGAATTTCAGTGGGGAGATGGTAGACCATGGGCTTGTTGGCGCCAAAACACAGCAAACCATGACTGGTTGTTGGTTTCAGCCCCTCTGAAGAATATTAGTCTGTTGGGGTGATGAAATTCCCAATATATGGAAAGTCATATAAAACTCCATGGTTCCAGTCACCACCAACCAGATGAAACATCCATGTTGGAAGATGTCGGATGACATTCCATTCACTGATTCACCTTTTTGCCTTTTCCACCATTTGGACTTGCTAAAAAGGCCATGGTTTAAATCAATTTACTGAAAGGAGGAGAACCAACTGAATGCGCGCATTTCGAGGGTAAAACTTGGAGACCACGGAACAATCGTTCACAGTCATGTATTGAAAAAACCGAATCACAATAATCATTTTTCATTGGAGACCACCAAACATGATGAAAACATCTTCTTTTTGGTTTTGCGTATTGAACATATATTCAGACTAAGACTATTCAAAAATAACCCGAATCGCAAAGTTAACTTGGTGCGAATCGCCCATCCCAACGCCCAAAGGCTGAAACCCATCGTTCTGATTCTCGTAGCCGCAGGATTTTTATCGTGCACCATGACTGGTTGGTGGTTTCAGATATATGGCTTTAATATGGTTTTATATGGTTTAATATGGATAATAATGGGATAATGATGGGATAACAATACTGGTTGGTGGCTGACCCACCCCTCTGAAAAATATGAGTTCGTCAGTTGGGATGATGACAAATTCCCAATATATGGAAAAATAAAAAATGTTCCAAACCACCAACCAGCCATGATGACACCGAACCGGATATCTTGATCCATCTCCAACTCACCTAATCACCGAAGGATGTCACTTTTTTTTGCGCGGCATGCGGCGCCAAAGGCACTTTAAAGGCAGTCGCGCACTCGGCCAAGGCCTGCCAAGCGACAACCAATCCGCCAATAGTTTGAAGTTTAACCCATTGAAGTAGATGATTTAACATGTACCCTCTGGTAATTTAACGTAGCTAGTGAAAATGACCATTTATAGTGTGTTTTCCAATTAAAAATGGTGATTTTCCATAGTTATGTTAAATTACCAGAGGGTATGCATTGGTGAAAACAACATCAACCCCTGCTGTGATACATCATGATACATCGACCAAGGCCATCCCTTTCGATCAAAAATCGATCCAATCTCCGCCTCGTGAGACAGAGAGGTCCAAAAGCCCGAGCATTGCTCCAGATGATCGCTGGACCTGGGAAATTCCAACGTATTGGAATCGAAAAAAACCAGGCTGCTGGCATCCATCAACGATGTCGTCATGGCATTTTAATGTTCTTTGCAAATTATGAAAGGTGGTGGCCCCGGCCCAGTGAAATGTTTTTTTTTTTAATACACGTTTGTTATATATGATGACATCGATACATCCATATATGCGTACATACAGATATATATATATATACACCTAACAGCTATACTAATAAAATGAACCGCATGAACCAACTTAGCGGTTCTGAACTGTACGGGATTGTCTGCAAAACAAAATCTATGCTTCATCCTAATGTTCCTTGTTAAAAGTCTCAGAAACCCTATGGATCCAGTCGTACCTTCTTAGGAAGTGGGACTGGGGTATAATTTACTATAATTTAAGGAGGGTTAGCCGTACCTTCTCAGACAGTGGCCATGGATCCATAAGGAAACTAGAGGTCCAATCACAGCCGTCTGAGACATCGCTGGATCGAACGGGGGAAACATCTGCTGGTCCCAGGATTCGGAGCCGGTTTTTATTCCACCAGCCAGCCAGCCGCTTGGACGTCGGAATCACCCCGAGACCAAAAAGACACCCGGCCTGGTGCCCCCGTTCGATAGCTAAGGTGGTGAACATAACTCCAATGTCACTATGGTTTTTGTTGGTGATATATCTATAGTTAATGGGATTATAAACCAACTTATAACTTGGGGGGCACCACCTTGTATGGAAAATCACCATGTTTTAAAGAACGGTAAATCAAGTATGTCATACATTTTCATACTATTTCTAGAATGTGAGGCCCCCGGCCATGATATCTAAGTTGGTGAACATAACTCCAATGTCACGAACTGGTTTATGGTACTTATAACGAACTAGTTACTGGGGCTTTTGTGAACCAACGTTCACATCACTGGGGGGCCTCACATTGTATGGCAAACTGTAAAAAAATAACTTTTTTTTTGTATCCCATGATGACTGGGTGAACGTTCCACAGTCCAGTTACTTTCCCCGGATGATCCCTCTTGGGTTCTTCGGATGGGCTGAACAAACTGCCGACAGGCCGAAATTCGAAACCCGAAAAAGGTTTGGAAACCATAGGACTTCCCGAATATTGATGGTCAAATTATGATGCCCTGTCCTTTTGAGGGTTCAGCCACTTATTGTTTGACGAATCAAGCATCAACAGCCCGGGATCTCTCAAACATATACAGCTTTTTTGCTGTTTTTGACTATTTTGATGTGTTATAATCAGTTGAATTCACACATAACTCCGGCTCAGCCGCAACTTTTTTCTCAATTTTCGATATTTATCAGCTCAAAAAATCGGGCTGAGAATACCACAAATTGGTCTCAAAGGAGAGCAACTTGGCATAAGTCACGGCATTGGGACCTAGAGCCTAGGCTGCGCGGCCCGCGTTGGCTGAAGCCGGGGATAGAACTGCCCGAGATTTCACAACGGAAATTTGGAGGATTGATCGGTGAGTTCATGGTGGGGTGACTCTGTTTCTATACACTGAGGATGTCTAGATATGAATATATGATCATATATATATATATGTATATATATAATATATGTTTATATTTATATGCATCATATTTGTATATATGATATATGCATATAGTATATGTGAGTATATGCGCAGCATATATTTGCAAATACTATTGGCGGGTCGGCGTGACAAGATCTTGCAATAGTTCTGATCATGTTCACATGTCCAAATGGTCAACTCATGTCAACTCGCTTTAGATGTGGAACATGGCAAATTTATAGGTGATGTATTGATGATTGACCATAGAAAATTGTGATTTTCCTCATCTATGTATGATGATTTACCATAGAAAATGATGATTTTTTGTAAACGTTTATAGCTAGAATGTATTTCTTGAAAAATCCACCAAAACCATGTTGGACTAGTGAGGTTTCCCGCGTCATTCTAGTAATCCCCCCTTTTTCGGCAGGGTGACTCATCCGCCAAAAAACATCAACCAATGCCAGGGTTGCAACTGCTCAGCTGTAAAACTCTCCAAGCCGATTCTGAGAGTGAGGCCGTTTCAGCATCAAACAACCTCGGATCACTGAAGTTTGCTACATCCGAATGGGGCAAACCAACAAAAAAAGGAATGTTCGTGTGCTGAAAACATATATTTTCTCGGACTTCCCGGCCCGGCTTTTCTCTGAAAAATCAAAGCATCTTCTGAAACATCTTCAATTTACAAACAAACTGCAATGATATTGTTGATGATATATCCTGTTAATATCACCATAAAATGGCAAGGTTGTTGGTTAAACAATCCATGTTCATCCAATCCCGCATCAATCACCTTGCATCTAGACCTCTATATCCCATATACATAGGCTTCATACGGGTTTCATTCGGTTTAATACCGGACCATTGTTTCTGGCGAATTCTGCTTACAAGGTGGTGCCCCCCCCAATTATAAATGGATTATAATCCCATGACAACTGCTTCGATACATCACCAACAAAAACCATATTAACTATGGACTTCTTTGCACCAACTCAGCTAATCCTATAACCATAGTCATAGTCATCGGAATTATTAGCTCAGTTAGGATTCACCAATACCTATGACCATTAATTATCGCTAGGATTCACCATATGCAATATTATTGGAATATTAGCTAAGTTATAGTGAACCATAGTTGATATTGGACCTTTTTGAACCAACTTAGTTATAGGAATAATAAATCAGTTAGTCAGCTAGTCTTTGTAGTCCATAAATTATTGGACCTTTTTAAACCAACTTACCCTCTGGTAAACTAACATAACTATGGAAAATCCCCATTTTCAATGGGAAAATCCACTATTTCTATGGTCATTTTCAATAGCTATGTAACAAATTACCAGAGAGTAGCGTTCACTTGCCCAGCAGGGCACCCTCTTTGCGGCAGACTTCATCGCCGCAGCAAAACCGGAATCTCTGAGCAGCGGCGCAAGGCGACAGCGTTGGGAAATTGAGTAGCTCCAGCGCAGGCAGAGACCTGGAGGTGATTTTGGTATCATTTCACGATATTTCACCATAAACCCTGGATATACCAGATAAAAATGTCACCATAAACTGTGGATATACCAGCTATATGATATATATATATATATAATTATATATATATATGTTACTGTATTTAACTAGTGATAACTAGTGGGATTGAATGGGATTGAATAATAAGGTGATCTATTGGGATATATCAGCATAAACCCATGGAAAAATATGGTGATTTAGTGGGATTTCATCACTGCCAATTGAGTGGGATACCCTGCAACAAATTACAAATTCTCAGCTGATGAACGAGGATATTCCTATAGCAAAAGATTAAAGGATTAGTTTCTACCCATCCAGTTGGTTGACCTAGTTACAGTAACTAGGGATATATCACCATAAACTGTGGATATACTACCAGCTATATGTAACTGTATAATGAAACAAACTTAGCTGAATATAGGGAATCACCTCGTATCAATTGGTTTGGGAACAACATA